TCATCTGAGGATAAATAATCCATTTGATAAGATGTTTGTTTTTTATTTTTATTTTGTTGAAAAAATGGGTAATTTTCACTGCGATCCTGTGGAGGGTTTGGTTGAAAATTTTTGGAATTATATTGGGCCGTTGGGTTATCCCAGTTTCGAGGTTTTGTATATTGATTAAAATTCCTTTGTGGTTGATAATTTGTTTTTGATGGATGTGTATAATTATAATTATGGTCTGCAAAGTTGTTTCTAGTGAATGTTTTGCGTGTTTTTGATGGTATTGTCATGGGTCTGTATGTTTGGTAATCCATTTGTGAATATTTAGGGGCAACCGAAGGTTTAACGGTTGATTGTAAGGTTACCTGTGTTTGTGAAGGATTTGTATTTCTTGGTGTTGTTAAATTTGGGCGTATTGGTGAAATACTTTGTTGTGTAGTTGTTGTGTGTACAATTTCTTCATTTATGAAGTGTGATGGTGTCTGGATATCTTGTTGAGTAAGATTCCTAGTTCCATTGAGGTTTTCGTTGTGTATGACTGTAGAGTTTAAACTATTATTTTGTGTATCGGGTAAAAATGTATTATAGTTTAATGGTGTTGCATCAATTGTTAATGGTATTACTCTTACATAATCTCTTATGTAAGATATTGTACCTATTGCTTGACTTGAGATTGATTGTGGAAAGCTTATAAATGCGGGATGAGACCATTCGGGGTCCCAAACATAATCTGATTGTTCTGTGATAGCGGTATCATCGTTCGAATTTTGGGGTCTAAAATTTTTTCTTGCTTGTGCAATTAAATCAATATTGTGTGTGAAATAATCTATTATGAACCATGCTAAAATTTTTTGTAGATCGTGTTTGGTATGTTGTGAAACGTCATCTTTCGTGAAATTTTCTTTAATGATGTTTAAATAACTAGAGAGTAGTGTAATTTCATGTCGTACTTTCAAATGTTTAGATGTTTCTGTCGGTGAGACATTTGTTAGTGGGATTTCGTTTTCTAATATCGAAATATAACTATATATTATTGCGAAAACTTCATTAGTGAAAATGGAGTTTGCTCTTTGTGAGTTATGGTATTGGATGCTTTTTATATATTCTGAAAAAACTTTTGAAAATTCTAAATCAAGATCGTCTGTTTGAATAGTATATGTTCTATTATTATGGTTTGGGGAAGTGAATTCTATGGAGTAGATTCCATACTGTTGTGTTATGTTGCATATATCTTTTAGATAGTGATCTATGATTTGTCTTTTGATTTTTACATCGGGGAACTCTGTTTTACATGGACTGATTCCGGGTTCAAATAAATTTACGAGTAAATTTTGACAAAATATGTGTTGTCCTCTATCAGTATCTGCGTCTACTATAAAAGGAAAGATTTCATCGTCATCTGGAGTTTCGTCACCTGGGGTGTGTGTTGAACTCATTTTTTCGTTCGATGACTGTTAATATGTAATTATTAATGTGTCGAATTGGTTGATTCCAATTGTATAGATGTACTGGTTTGTGTTTGTACTGCTTTTTTATTCTTCTTTTTCCTCTTTGTGATGAATTTGAAGTTGTTTCTGAGTCAGAAAAATATAATTGATCGTGTTGTGGGTAATTTTTATCTATTGATTCTTTTAATTTGTAAAGTTCGTCTAAACTGTTGGTTTCTGATTCTGAAAATGCGTTTCGATTTTTTGAAAATCTTTTTCGTGTTATTTGTCTTTGTTTAGTTATTATTTTTCTTTTTAGTGTTTGTCGTTTTGTGCGAATGTATCCAACTGTTTGTGTATGAGGTGTGATTACAAGGTCGTATTTTTTGTTATCTATTTCACAATTGTGTAAAATGATTGTTTGTTTATTTCCTAGGTTTTTAAATGACATAAGGTTTAGAATGACGGATGCAAAGGTTGTTAAATGATTTCTATTTTCTTAAACTGTTAGTTCTTACGATTTTTTGGTTAGCTTAACCTGGGTCTATTTGTTCAGGGTTGGAGAGAAAAGTATATCGATTCCGAAGAATGATTTTTACTTTCTTGTGACTAGTATAAGCTAAGGTGTTAACTTACTTAATCTTACTTAGGGGTAGTGATTGTGTTCAAGGGTTGGAGAATAGTAAATCGATCCACAAGGTTCAGGTATAATTAGAACGCGAGTAGTTCGTTAGATACTATTTTAAACTTACTAAGTCTAAGATTTATCTTGGGCCTGGTAAGAGGGGGGGTCAAGTGAAGGATGAATAACCGAAGTTCTTCACTGTTTATCCTAATTTGAATGATTAGTTTTGTTTTAAAAATTTCTATTAGTCCTGGGTTTTTAGAAAGGGTTGGGTAGTGAATCGACGTTTGAGGTCGTTAGACACTAATTAAGTGGGTGGGGGAGAACAAAGTTGTTCTGTTTGATCCAAGGATAAGCCTTGATGATCAAATTTAAAATTTAATTAAGTAGAAAATGATTTAAGATCCAAGGATAAGCCTTGATGATCTGGTTTTAAAAATTAAGTGACTTTAAGTTTTAATAAAGTTTTAAATTTGTGTAAAGGAAAGATTAGTGTTTTATGATATTAGTGAGTTGATGATTGCTGTTGTGTTTTAGGTGATGAAGCTGGAACAACAAGATGATTTATGATTACTAACCATTTATTGTCATGCTGCTAATTTTTATTTTTATTTTCCAATAAATATTTTTCAAACATGTTTTGTATAATACTGCAGATAGGAAAACGATCTTAGATCTTTTTATCAATCGTTATTGTATAATATTAATTTTGTTTAGCGCCTGAAATGATTTTGAAGATTAACTTCAAGGTTTTATGTTTGCAAATGGAAATCTAAATTCATTGCAAGTAGTATTCGAAATATAAAAGTTTGTTCTGGCTTTTGCCGAACTATCATATAACTATACGGCAAGTTTCTACTTTGTCGTATGTCGTCTTTGGTTCGAGGTCTTCTTCCAATTCCGGGTAGTTCTATTATGGTTCGGAATATTGGCTCTGATCTATTGAGTCGGAGAGACATTTCAATTAAATTATTGTCGTATAACATTTTGTAAATGTTTTTGTCTAATTTCTAATCTAATTTTGGTTAATTCTAATCTAGTAAGGTCTTGTTCGAGACTTATGGTCGCACCAGATGAGTTATGACCGAAGTGTATAACTCATAGAGTAATTTCGGATAGGGTACACCGTCTGCTCGTCACGCTATCTTATTTTCGGCCGGATAGATTCGTGCAACTTCTTAGTCTAATACCGATCCTAATCTTACTCTTATACTATCTAGTCTCAGGTTGTTTAACTAGTCTCTGCTAGGCTCAATAGATCTAGGGTATACTGGTTTATTGCGGCTGCTGAAGTGCTCGGGAGAGTCCAACTAATTTCTAAGTTAAATTCAAATCTCTCTGGTGCTGAAATTACAAGTAACTTCAGCACTTACAAATAAGTGGGTTGTTAGTTAGATGGATCATGATTGGTTAATATTAAATACTTTACATTGGTAAAACATTTAATTTATCCAATCATAAAATATAGTTTAGATCAGGTTCCAAAGGTCAAGCAAGTTCAAACAACACGAATCTATGCAAAAACTTTTGGTGAAAAGTAATTCATTCAAGAAACTTAAACTTAAAAAAATCATTTTTTGAACGATTTCGCAACCAAAAGCATCGTCGAGATTTTTGCATTGAACTAATTTTCATGACGAAAAAACATCATATTGCAAAAAAAGATTACAATACTCGCCTCTAAAATTTTTTAAAAATTCAATAAAAAATGGCTTTAATAAAATTCAATAAAAAAGAAACTTCAATAAAATTCGCTTCTAAACCATCATAATAAAAATTTTGTTTATTCAATTAAAAACTATGTTAAACCAACAATCAAATCCATAATTGCTTTCTGAAGGAGTTACATTTTTCAAATTGAATTAAACTTTATTTTTAATTGTATTTTGTTCTTGACCGTTGGATTTCTGAAGTTTATGACTAGTTTTGATAGAAAACATCAGAGAACAAATGAAGCAAGCTCAAGAAAGAACTATATATTCGAAATTGAATAATTCAGTCGAAAAATTACAATTTTGTATCTTTGAAATCTGTCAATCTATTGATTCAATTACGTACCGCGCAAATTGAACACGCTGGTTGCTAATTTATATATTCTTTTCCTAAATTGTGTATGCTTGACACATTTTCAAAAAAAAACAACGAATTTCTTCTGAGTTTTCTATTTTTGAAATTGATCTGTTGCCTTAGCTCATTCAATCAAATTTTTTTGTAACTAGAGCCAATTTGCATTTTAAATTGCCCAAATAAATGTTTGTATTATAATGAAACTGATATTTTTGATAATTAACCAAGGAGTGAAAATCGCATATTTATGATTGCAGCAATTTTGAGAGAAGTAGTGATAGGTTTTTTCAATTGGAATTGATCTATTTAGTGGTATGAGATTAGAGTTTTGTTTTGAAATAATTGTTTTGAATTGGTAAAGTTTTTTTAAAATCATAAATAAAAAAGAACAAAAAAACTTATCATTTTAATCTTTTCATAACTCCCCACAGGCAATTTTAATCACAAAATCAATAATTAGTAACCGGGGTATCACTAAAATCGGCAGATTTCCAAGATTTCTCTGTGGACTTTGGACCCTATAGCATGTTTTAATGAATTGCAACCCCTAAAAATAAAAGCACTGAATTAGCATAAGAGCGCTCTGTTGATAGTTCGAATTTTGCTCCATTATGATTGGTCGATAATTCGAGAAAATTAATCTACTTATTATGATCCGTACCTACTAAAAATTGCCACCCGCTTAATGAATCCATTCAACGGTTAAGCTTTTTTTTAGCTAGGAACGAATCCCCTTCCCCCACCCTTTGCAAAAGGGGGAATATTAAAGAGATCCCGAATGACAATCAAGCCGAAAATTGATTTTGTTATACAAGATAACAACAAACTGTCGCTGTGGTTGTGCAATTGTTTCGTAATTCTAAAATATAATAGGAATCAATCCAATTTTTTAGTGATTCAGTTGTGGTGAGTTTTGTGGAAACAGTTACTGTGGAGACCCCTTGTGTCACACCCTCCCTCTTCCCAGTCCACACCCACTCCCCGCGGAACTCTTCTATCGGCCTCGCCCAATTGGAGAGAGCATACGCTACACAAGACTACATCATTCCTATTCAGTGTGAGTTAAAAACTTCTCTGAAGTCATGGACAACGTAAATCACAGTCGCTTCTCACCTGTCGCACAATTAGTTTTTTTAATTTTTGAACTGCATGCTTAGCTTGTCTATCAAGGTATATACAATTTTCAATTTTCACGCGAGCTCTTCTACCCCCCCCCCCCCCCCGCCCACCTGTCACCAGAAGAGCCGTCACGCGATGAAATTAGCAAGCAGTTCGAATGTTTTTTTTTGTGTAAGCTTTGGCGCAAATATACGGATCATCGAGATGTGTTTGATATGTTCTGATATGTCCGCATGCCAATTCATATAATAAGTGGGAAGTGTGAACGAAAACTTAACAAATGAAAACTCGGAAATAGAGTCTAGGTTAGTATAAATTCATATGTTAACCTTTATATAACTCGAAATTTTCGCCAAATGATGCTAAGATGTTATTATCAATATTCATTTCAATTTAACTTGCAAGGTTTTAACTTGTTATGATAACTTCTTGAAAGGTTTTGATTGAAACTTTCAACGAGGCTGCAAATCAATTTTTTGGTATTAGCTCGATATAGTAGATCGTAACTTTGAGTTTTGCAACTCGAAGAGATCTGTCAAATGCTATCCAGCCAGTTGAAGGATATTAGGTTTTGATTATTTCCCGACATTCAAATTCAAGACTGAGTTATTTTGCCGAGGAAAGCCCAGTTTTTGCGACCCAAGGACGTTTTTTTTTAATCTCGTTTTTTTTTTCAGTGGAGCTGCCGCCGTTTTTCGAGGGGGAACCACAACTAACACTAGTCAGTCCGGTAGAGTCCTCTGGCGCCCAATTTGTTCTCCGGGGAGTAGAAGTCGACCCCCTTTTCGAAGTGGGGTCGGAACTGTCTGCCACTTTCAATGAGAGTCTGCAGTTGTCGGAGCAGTTCTACCTGTCGACAGGGTCCCAATGGAACAGCCAGGAGAACATCCTCACTTATCGCATGGGCAGGGTGTCTGTTCTTGGTCAGTAAGAATAACTATACTTAACCATCAAATTGCGAGTCGCGACTCCTTTCCAGTTTAAATACCCCCCCCCCCTTTCTTCGTGAAATTACAATATAATGTTTTTGAAAAAATTATTATTTGTACGGCAATTAGCATGTAGGATGTGTTGTAAGAATTTAATCACTTGTCCTCTCTCATGCGATTTATCGCAACAAAATTCGATTTAAATATGATATGAAAAAGTTTCCAAAAAATCAAAAAGGTTTCTGAAAAAAAGCCTTTGATTCTATCCTCTTAACACTTGGACTATCATTACCATTATTTAGACATTAAACTGTCAAAAAAAACTGTCAAAAAAGTAGCACATCCCACAATAAATCCTCACCCGGCTTCGAAAAAAGGATTTTTGTGTAAACCTTTTACTGTCTATAGAATCTGATTAGTTTTTTGACTCAGCGTTTGCTTCAGAAGCATTTCACAAATGTGATCATTTGATTGTTCAGATCTAAAGGATCGCATGGGAGTGTACCACCATCAGAACGAGATCTCCTTCTCTCCCTCGAGTAGAGCCAGGACAGTGCAGCTGCTGGTGTTTGTCCAGGTGCAGGATGAAGTGGACTTCACCCCTGGCCAGCAGTTCTCCCTCATCTACTCTCTGGAGAGTGGGGGTGCAGTGACCACCAATCAACACAACTTCCAGGTATAGTAACACACCATTGTAGCCTTAATTCGTACCTTTGATAAAATTTTCAAAAATGGACTAGTTTTCAAAAAGAGCCCATATTTTTCAAATTTCAGGTTGATTTTCTTCCGGAGCGACGGCCAATGGTGGATTTGGAAGTAGAGGTGGCCTATACTCTGGATAGAGAGTTTGTTCCAGGAGATACGATCCAGTTCACAGCCAAGATGAGTCACCAGTGTGAGAGCAGTGCACAGGCCACGAACATTCACACAATCCTACACCTCCCGGATGTAGTTCTGAGGATGGATAATAATATTACACACTATACTGGTCAGTTGCCAGTGTTAGACTACACAGCCGGTGACAAAAAAGCGGCATTCACGGTATGTTTAACTGGTGCATAGATTTAACTTGTATAACTGAAGTTCGAAGCGGGTTTAAGTACTATGATTAAAAGTGGCTTTGGCAGCTAACTGTTCTCCCTAAACCTCCCAATTAAATTGGCTTTTAGAAATTATCAGTGAATCTAGGGGCTACGCAAAGGTCGTGATGTTGATAAGAAAAAAATAGTACTTCTAATATTCGTGGGCTTCTCGTTCTAGCAATTCTCTCTCTTGTCTAAGTACGCTGCAGAAAGTATCTCTTTGTTGCTGAGTTTGGCAGGGCTTCCCAGACTCTAAACTACCACAATCCCCAAATTATAATCTTAGAGGTCCAACTGTCTGCTTATATAAAGGGGCAGATCTAAGAGTTTTTCGAGGGGGTGGGGTTGGATTTTAAAAATAATTTTGAAAGTTTTGCCGACCATTTTTTTAAGATCGACCCAATTGTTTTTCTGAACTCTTTTAAATCATTATAAAGACCCCATTTTGACCAAATTTCTGAAAAAAGCAGGCCACAAAAGGGGTTTTTAAGCACTTTTTGGAAAATGTTGACAAAAACATTGCGTTTTTTGGCGCGCGCTCCCTCAAAATTAGTATATATTGGCGCCACAGGCGCCTTCAGAAAAATTTTAGGGTCAGTCACCAAAAATGGGTAGCTCAAAATAATACAAACTGGGGACCCTCTGGGTCGGCAGGTGTTCGAATCCCTGAGGGGGAGGAGAGCGGACTCCTTCCCGACCCCTTTAAACCCGAATCTGTCCGTTAAAATTTAAAGGTCTTCTTGAAATTTTATTGTAACCTACGCACGACACATGACCGCAATAAACGCGGAGAAAATTTTTCCCTCGTGCGGTTCCAAAATTTTAAAAAAGAAGAAATACAGTCTACCGACCTTATAATTTGCCATAACGCTAAGTTAATTTTCACTGTGCGCTTGAAGCTCCTATACTGGTCAGGTCCAACTGTTTGCTTATATAAATGGACAGATCTAGGATTTTTTCGAGGGTGGGTTGGATTTTAAAAAAATTTTGAAAATTTTGCCGACCGTTTTTTTAAGATCGACCCAATTGTTTTTCTGAGCTCTCTCAAATCACTATAAAGACCTCATTTTGACAAAATTTCTGAAAAAAAGCAGGCCTCAAAAAAGATTTTTAAGCAATTTTTGGAAAATGTTGACCAAAACATTGCGTTTTTTTGTTTTTTTTTTTTGGCGCGCGCTCCCTCAAAATTAGTATATATTGGCGCCACAGGCGCATTCAGAAAAAAATTTAGGGTCAGTCGCCGAAAATGGGTAGCTCAAAACAAAACAAATAGGGGACCATCTGGGTCGGCAGGTGGTCGAATCCCTGAGGGGGAGGAGAGCGGACTCCTTCCAGCCCCCCCTTAAACCCGCACCTGTCTGTTAACTATTAAAGTTCTTCTTAAATTTTATTGCAGCCTACGCACCACACATAAACACAATAAACGCGGAGAAAATTTTCCCTCGTGCGGCTCCAAAATTTTTAAAAAGGAGAAATACCGTCTGCCGACCTCATAGTTTGCCATAACGCTAAGGTAAACTTCACTGTGCGCTTGAAGCTCCTATATTGGTCAGGTCCAACTGTCTGCTTATATAAAGCGACAGATCTAGGGTTTTTTCGAGCGAGGGTTGGATTTTAAAAAACATTTGACAGTTTAGCCGACCATTTTTTTTAAGATCGACCCAATTGTTTTTCTGAGCTCTCTCAAGTCACTATAAAAACCCCATTATGACCAAATTTCTGAAAAAAGCAGGCCACAAAAGAGGTTTTTATGCCTTTTTTGGAAAGTGTTGACCAAAACATTGCGTTTTTTGGCGCGTGCTCCCTCAAAATTAGTGTATATTGGCGCCTCAGGCGCCTTCAGAAAAGTTTTAGGGTCAGGCACCGAAAACGGTTAGCTCAAAATAATACAAATAGGGTACCGTCTGGGTCGGCAGGTGATCGAGTCCCTGAGGGGGAGGAGAGCGGACTCCTTCCCGTCCCCTTAAGCCCACACCTGTCTGTTAAAATTTAAAGGTCTTCTTAAAATTTTATTGTAACCTACGCACGACACATGACCGCAATAAACGCGGAGAAAATTTTTCCCTCGTGCGGTTCCAAAATTTTAAAAAGAAGAAATACCGTCTGCCGACCTTAAAATTTGCCATAACGCTAAGTTAATTTTCACTGTGCGCTTGAAGCTCCTATACTGGTCAGGTCCAACTGTTTGCTTATATAAATGGACAGATCTAGGATTTTTTCGAGGGTGGGTTCGATTTTTAAAAAATTTTTGAAAATTTTGCCGACCGTTTTTTTTAAGATCGACCCAATTGTTTTTCTGAGCTCTCTCAAATCACTATAAAGGCCTCATTTTGACCAAATTTCAGAAAAAAAGCAGGCCACAAAAAAGATTTTTAAGCAATTTTTGGAAAATGTTGACCAAAACATTGCATTTTTTTGTTTTTTTTTTGGCGCGCGCTCCCTCAAAATTAGTATTTAATGGCGCCACAGGCGCATTCAGAAAAAAAATTAGGTTCAGTCGCCGAAAATGGGTAGCTCAAAATAAAACAAATAGGGGAGCCTCTGGGTCGGCAGGTGGTCGAATCCCTGAGGGGGAGGAGAGCGGACTCCTTCCAGCCCCCCCTTAAACCCGCACCTGTCTGTTAACTATTAAAGTTCTTCTTAAATTTTATTGCAGCCTACGCACCACACATAAACACAATAAACGCGGAGAAAATTTTCCCGCGTGCGGCTCCAAAATTTTTAAAAAGGAGAAATACCGTCTGCCGACCTCATAATTTGCCATAACGCTAAGGTAAACTTCACTGTGCGCTTGAAGCTCCTATATTGGTCAGGTCCAACTGTCTGCTTATATGAAGCGACAGATTTAGGGTTTTTTTTCGAGCGAGGGTTGGATTTTAAAAAAAATATGACAGTTTAGCCGGCCATTTTTTTTAAGATTGACCCAATTGTTTTTCTGAGCTCTCTCAAATCACTATAAAGACCCCATTATGACCAAATTTCTGAAAAAAGCAGGCCACAAAAGAGGTTCTGAAGCCTTTTTTGGAAAGTGTTGACCAAAACATTGCGTTTTTTGGCGCGCGCTCCCTCAAAAATAGTATATATTGGCGCCACAGGCGCCTTCAGCAACATTTCAGGGTCAGTCGCCGAAAATGGTTAGCTCAAAATAATATAAATAGGGTACCGTCTGGGTCGGCAGGTGATCGAGTCCCTGAGGGGAAGGAGAGCGGACTCCTTCCCGTCCCCCTTAAACCCGCACCTGTCTGTTAAAATTTAAAGGTCTTCTTAAAATTTTATTGTAGCCTACGCACTACACATAAACGCAATAAACGCGCAGAAAATTTTTCCCTCGTTGGGCTCCAAAATTTTTAAAATGAAGAAATGCCGTCTGCCGACCTCATAATTTGCCATAACTCTAAGGTAAAATTCACTGTGCGCTTGAAGCTCCTATACTGGTCAGTTCCAACTGTCTGCTTATATAAAGGGACAGATCTAGGGTTTTTTCGAGGGGGGGGTTGGATTTTGAAAAAAAGTATGAAAATTTTGCCGACCATTTTTTTTAAGATCGACCCAATTGTTTTTCTGAGCTCTCTCAAATCACTATAAAGACCCCATTTTGACCAATTTTCTGAAAAAAGCAGGCCACAAAAGAGGTTTTTAGGCACTTTTTGGAAAGTGTTGACCAAAACATTGCGTTTTTTGGCGCGCGCTCCCTCAAAATTAGTATATATTGGCGCCACAGGCGCCTTCAGAAAAATTTTAGGGTCAGTCGCCAAAAATGGTTTGCTCAAAAAAATACAAATAGGGTACCCTCTGGGTCGGCAGGTAATCGAGTCCCTGAGGGGGAGGAGAGCGGACTCCTTCCCGCCTTCCTTAAACCCGCGCCTGTCTGTTAAATTTTAAAGGTCTTCTTATAACTTTATTGTAACCTACGCACGACACATGACGGCAATAAACGCGGAGAAAATTTTTCCCTCGTGCGGCTCCAATTTTTGGCGCGAGTTCATTTTTTTTAAGATCGACCCAATTATTTTTCTGAGCTCTCTAAAATCACTATAACGACCCCATTTTGACCAAATTTCTGAAAAAAAGCATGCCACAAAAGAGGCTTTTAAGCACTTTTTGGAAAATGTTGACCAAAACATTGCGTTTTTTGGCGCGCGGTCCCTCAAAATTAGTATATATTGGCGCCGCAGGCGCCTTCAGAAAATTTTTAGGGTCAGGCGCCGAAAATGGGTAGCTCAAAAAAATACAAATAGGGTACCCTCTGGGTCGGCAGGTAATCGAGTCCCTGAGGGGGAGGAGAGCGGACTCCTTCCCGCCCTCCTTAAACCCGCACCTGTCTGTTAAAATTTAAAGGTCTTCTTAAAAATTTATTGTAATCTACGCATGACACATGACCGCAATAAACGCGGAGAAAATTTTTCCCTCGTGCGGCTACAAAATTTTTAAAAAGAAGAAATACCGTCTGCAGACCTTATAATTTGCCATTAAGCTAAGGTAAACTTCACTGTGCGCTTGAAGCTCCTATACTGGTCAGGTCCAACTGTTTGCTTATATAAATGGACAGATCTAGGATTTTTTTGAGGGTGGGTTGGATTTTTAAAAAAATTTTGAAAGTTGTGCCGACCGTTTTTTTAAGATCGACCCAATTGTTTTTCTGAGCTCTCTCAAATCACTAAAAAGACCCCATTTTGACCAAATTTCTGAAAAAAGCAGGCCCCAAAAGAAGTTTTTAAGCATTTTTTGGAAAATGTTGACCAAAACATTGCGTTTTTTTGGCGCGCGCTCCCTCAAAATTAATATATATTGGCGCCGCAGGCGCCTTCAGCAACATTTCAGGGTCAGTCGCCGAAAATGGTTAGCTCAAAATAATACAAATAGGGGACCCTCTGGGTCGGCAGGTAGTCGAATCCCTGAGGGGGAGGAGAGCGGACTCCTTCCAACCCCCCTTAAACCCGCACCTGTCTATTAATGATAAAAGCTACATAAAAAAAACTGAAAGTATGGGTTTAGAAATTTTTAAAATACATTGTGCGACTGATCGATAAAAAGGCCTAATTTTAATATTAAAAAACTTGAGACGTAACCAAGACCGGCATAGGTGTAAATAGCTATGTCCTCAACATTGTTAATTTTCTATGATATTTTTTGTTGCTTTTATTTCCACGAACAAATATCTAAAACACTGCATTGCTCAAAATTGCTCCAAAACTAGTCGAGTTTGCGGAATCCGCAAAATAATTTGCGGAATCCGGAAAAATTTGTCGAACAAAC